CAAACCTCTCTAAGCCTGTGTGCCGCCTTTTCTGGACATCTCACAGATACACCACCATCCCCTATGAGACCCTGTCAGCTACGTTCTCTCAGCGGACTTTGAGAGCTGTAGCATGCCTCTGTCCATCCTTCTTCATGAGCAGATGGTATTCCATTGTGCAGGTAACAGGCTACTGACCCATTTATGGATCAGTGAACATTTTAGTTGTTTCTGCTTTTAAGATTATAAATAAATCCATTGCAAACATTTATGTAAAATGTTTCATGTCTTAAGTGGGGAATGACAGTTCTTTAGCTTGTATGTATTGTTCACTTGGAAGTCATTTTACATCCGGGAACACTGAAAGAGATGAATTCAGGAATGAAAAAGGAATCTGTTTAGCCATTCAGGGCCTGCTGCTCCAGATAAACACGTGTACACTCGTGCAACATTTTAATATCCCTGGAAATGTACATTTTTCATCTTTGCAACATAGTTCTAAATGCCATTTAAATTGAAAGCTATTGTATCTTAATTAGCAGGTCTTCTGCATTTACAGTATAAACGGTTAAAGATAGCACATCGGCTTTTGGAATGAATTCATCAGTGCTATCTTGGAGCAGCTGACAACTGGCCTGTGTGTATCACACGGCCAGCTTTTAAAATACAGCCACTTACTGTATCTTATTGCAATATTCGCTACACAGAGAGGATGAATGCTAACAGGATGCCCACATCGCTTCTGTAGGGAACCAGGGAAGGGGCAGCGGAGGAGAGCCCCAAGAGCAGATTGGAGGGTGCAATGCAGCTGCAAAGTGTTTGGAAACAAAAGGGAATTGGTGTGCAGCAATTAGTGTGAGTGGCTTTTCACAGGCGCTGAGCCCGAGCCGAGCTGGAGCCCTGCACTGGCTGTCACTCAGCAGGGGTGGCACAAAAGCCCAGGAAGGAGCCAGAGGAGGATTTGCTGGTTCCTACTTCAGAAACACCTAGAACCTGGGAAACTCAGCTTTCCTCAACCCAGCGTTGCTTCCAGTTCACTAGATTCAGGGAAGGCCCAAGAACAACACTCAGACAAGTCCCAGGGTGTTGCCGACAGGAACACAAAGTTAAGTAGAGGGACGTGGTTTTCAACCTTCATAATGCCGTGACCCTTTAATACAGTTCTGCGTTTTGTGTCGATTCCTGTATTTGTTTTTCCTTGTAGCTTCCTAGAGCTTTACTCTGGGGGCTTTCTTCCTAAACACAGCAAAATCAAATTCTCCTGTTTTCTTTTTGCATTCACCCTCAGCCCCACTTTCCTTCCCACCCAATTTTGTGCTCTTCCCTCCCCCTCCCACACCCCATCAAGGGCATTCATGCTGCCCAAATATTCTTGGATGTGTTGTGTTTCACTCCTGGGACTCTAGTCAGGGGCTCTGCTCTTAGAGAAAGCTGACCCTCCCTCTCGCAGCAGGGAAGAGTTGCCATTAGCTCCTAGGCTATCCTTAGGACTTTATGCCCCATCCCTATCTCCACGCTGTATTTGGCCTGACTTATCTTGCACAGGTCTGGTCCATGTTGCCGCAGCTGCTGTGAACTCACATGTGCAGAGCTGCCTCGTGTCCAGAAGGCTCTGTCTCCTTGTAGTCATGCACACCCCTGGCCCTTACATTCTTGTTGCCAAATACATCTTCTGAAATAGTTTCTTAGTACTCCAGTAAATGTGTTTCAGGTCCCAGAATCTCCAAATTTCATCAAGAACATGTCTTTCTGCCATTGGATGCATGACCAGGGAGTCACATGCTCCCTGAATGTCAGGAAGCCTGCCATTTCTCCTGGAATGTATGGCTCATGTGGAATTTATATTAGTAATTCATTTAATTAATATTAGTAAGTCCATGGATCAGTTACTATTGTGTTTCCATGACCACAAGACCTACCAGGAACATCTTAGAGAAAAAGAGATTTATTTTGGCTCATGGTTTCCAAGGATTCAGCCATGGTGTTGAGGAAGGCACAGAGCGCAATGGAGTCCTGTAGAGGAGGGTCATATCAAGATGTCCAGGACAGCAGTGAGACAGGAAGCAGGCAGGGATAACACGCCCCCAGGACCCTAGCCTAGTGACCTACTGCTCCAGCGAGGCCCCACCTCCAAAAGCTTCCCTGCCTTCAAAATATCACCGCTACCTAGGGAGTGACCATTCAGAGTGTGAGCCTGCGAGGACCCTTGAGCTTCCAACCATGACAGCCTGCTTCACTGTACAGACATAGCCCATTCCCCTCTGACTTCCACATGCTGAGACCCCATTGCTAACTCTCACCACAGTAAGAGAATTTTCAACTAGTGAAGTAGGGTTTCTCTCTTTTTTTCTTCTATCACCTTCTTTTGGATAAAGATTAACATACCTTTCAACCACTCCTATAGATGCCATGTGCCGTAGCCATCCTGATTATTTTTCTTAATTTTATACCCATAATTTAACATAATTCTGTAATAGAGGAAATCTGGTTCCAGCCCAATGGAGCAGTGGGGACATGCAGTGTCCTAGTTAGGCTCACTGTCTGTGACATCATGTGACATCAGAGGCACTTGATTTTGAGTCCCACTCCTGCCTCTTTTTAACTTTGTGATCTGGGAAAGACTTCTAGAACTGAATTTCTTTGCATCATGTTTAAAATGAGGATATAAAACCTACTCCACATTAAGTGATATCTTAGTCAGTATCCTACTGTTAAAACACAATACTGGAGGCTGGATACTGTGTGCACAAAGAAAGTTTACTTAGCTCAGAGTTTTGAATTTCTAAGAGTATCTTCTCAGCTCTGGTGAGGGACCCTTGGCAGTCTCAGGGATAGCATTATATAAGAGAGAAAGACCACATGATAAGAAACCAGGGAAGGGTTTGGGTGGTCAGACTTGCTCTTTCTTTTTTTTTTTTCTTTTTTTTAATAATTTATTTATTTTTTCAAATCGTAATTCATTCACACAGGGGTTATAAACACAGAAAGGCAGGATGTAGGGAAGGGGATGACACAGGACTGTGGGTATTCAGGGGAAATACAGATATCTTTCAGAACAGGGTATCAGCTGGGTGAAGGTTCAGGGGATAGGTCACTATGACTTTGCCTATAATTCACTTGTCCTTATCTAAGTTGGTATTGTCTGCCAAGGCTACCTATTTACAAGGTCTATGACTACTCAGGCTGGTAAATTTCCACAAAAGCTGCCTGTTTGCAATAGCTTATAGCCATCTGTTTCAATGTTTTTCCACAGAGACCCAAGACTTGGTGTTAGTATACATGTATGACAGGCCTATTGCTGATTTTAGGCCTATGGCTGATTTTAGGCCTTCAGTGTGTAAGCAGGGCTGCCCCTGACATCTCCTCCCTTCTCTAAGTATAGAAGGGATGTGTTGATTCTAATCTTGCAAAGGCAGGGATAGAAGCCTGACCTCCAGTAATTGAAGGGGACCTTGTAATGGCTCTGGTCCCCCTGCTGTTGTCCAGTGAGGCATGGGGGCCATACCCGTCCTGATGTCTTTTTCCTGGAGAGGGGATACTTTTGCCATCAACCCCTATGCAGTCAGGCTTGTCCCTCAGGGAACCCAGAGAGATATTTTTAACTTTTATTTATATTCCCTTGCAGTCAGACTTGCTCTTTCTTACAAGTCACTTTCACAGGAACTAACGTAAGTTCCGTAAGAAATTAACAATCCTTCCCATGAGCAGTGTCCCCAGACACCTGATTATCTCCTACCACAGCCAACCCCTGAACTGGCCCACCACCTCTGTGGCAACATTGGGAAGCATCCTTCCAACACATGAGCCTGGAGACAAACCACATGGAAACCATGGCAAGTGCTAAAGAGAACAAGAAGCAGATGTTTAAAAGTGAATCCTATAATCCCAGCACTCAGGAGGCAGAGGCAGGTAGATCAGAGTTTGAGACCACTCTGATGCTCACAGTGAGTTTCAGGACAGCTGGGCTACTTAGAGAATCCATACGTACATACCCCCAAAAAACCACCACATCACCATCATAATTATATAAAAGAATAAAATAAAAGTGGGTTCTATCCTTGGACTTCATCTTGAGGCAATCGGTTATCTTGTAGCACCCACCCCTGCAACTCTCAGGGTTGGGGTCTGGAAATCTGGAGAGAGTAGTTGGTGGGTGTCTGAGACGAGAGCGCTAAGAAGTAGTCAGGCTGTGTGGACTGTGACCAGAGCAGCTGTAGGGATGCGTGAGCAGAGCCAGCTGACTTACTGGATTCTGGCATTCTCAGCAAATAACCCAACTAAGCAACTCTTCTCTGGGCCTCAAAGTCAGCTCCTCACGCTCATTTCCAAAGCTTCTGTCAGCTTTCACCCTGTTTTTAATCATAAGCAGACATGGAATGGGGGGGGGGGCTCCTGGAAAGGCCTTTCACATGGAACAGTGTGGAAATGCAATGGGGAAAATTACACTGTGAAGGGAAAAGAAAATACTTTTAAAATCTTTTTTTTTTTTTAAATATACCCTCAAAGAGCCAGGCAGTGGTGGTGCCCCTTAGTCCCAGCACTCGGGAGGCAGAGGCAGGCAGATCTCTGTGAGTTTGAGGCCAACCTGGTCTACAGAGTGAGTTCCAGGCCAGCCAGGGCTACACAGAGAAATCCTGTCTCAAAAAAAAACCAAAAACAAAACAAGAAAAAAAAATCCCCCAAAGGAAAAAAAAAATATATATATATATACATACACACATACATGTGTCTCTGAAGCAAGAAGAAGCAGTTTTGAGAATTTCTGAGCACCACAAAAAAAATCTCTATAAAATCCAGCAGAAACAAGAAATTCACAGAAGGAATGGAAGCTCAGACTAACAAAACCTCAAAGAAGCAGGACAAAAATTGAGAAAGGGGAAGAAGAAACAGGAAGGAGACCGGCAGTAAAGACACTTCCGGAATAAACCAACCTAAAGGTGGAGGGGAGAACCGATTCCACAAAATGTCCTCTGACCTCCACACACATGCACACACACTAATATTTGAAAAGAAGGGCTGGACGTGCCCCTAGAGGCCTTGCAGATGTGGCTGCTGTGTCACATGATGTGTCACATCAGTAGGTGGCAGAGAGGAGAGAAGCTATGTCTAGGCTCAGTGTTCTGACCTGAAAACATATGAGTGATAAGTAGGCTCCTGAAAGGGGGGAGCCTGAGATGACCACCAGTCTGATGCTGTGCAGGCCCAGGAGGTGGGGCAGGGACAGACCAGGCCCAAGATGACCCCAAGATGCCTTAATGCACGAATGGGGCATAGCACTCCTGAGACAACCCAGACACTCAGAGACCCTGAGCACCACTAAGAGGAGCAAATAAATGGTGAAGAAAGAGAAAGAGAAGGACGTGGGCACAATGAAGAAAGGCAGAACTGGAGGTGATGCCACCTGGGACCACAGTGGGGTCCTGGCCTGTGCTGCCACTGAGGGTCATGTTTAGGTCTGTGGCCCTTCAGCAGCGAGGGGGCTCTGTTACCATCAAAGGCCGGGCAGATGTCTCCAACCTGGGCTACTGCCCAGTGACTTGTTGATAACTGAGAGATATGAAGAACAGGCCCACTCCTTACCTGGGCATAGTGGGAGAGCTGGCCCTGCCCCTAGCCAGCTACAGTACTCAGGAGAGCAGGCCTGCACATTGTGGAAGTTGCATGTGAGCTTGTTCCAAGGATACAAGTGTGAGAGTTAGTCCTAACACTCATCTCTGTGGTGACACGGATGAGGGAAAGATACCCTCCATCTTCCTTGACCCCTCACCACCTAGCCCTGGGGTCTTGAGAGCAGGAGAGGTGGCCCTGCCCCTCATCTGCCACAGTGCTTGGGAAAATGGGCTGACCAGCTCAGATACCTCTCAGGCCCAGGACATATCTACCCCATCTATGAATGGCTGGAGTTCATGAAGGGGCCAGTCCTACAGATCCAAAACTACATCTCCATGACACAGAGTGGTAGCAGGGTATCTAAGAGGAGGTCCAGTGAGGTTTCAGCATCAATAGAGTAGCAGAAGCCAGAGGCCTCGAACCAGACCAACAAGTCATCGCAGTGAACATCTGCAAGCAAGGAAGAACGGGCATACTGTGGGACATACTGTGACACTATAGCTCCCACAACAAGATTTTTTTCCTGTTGGGGGAGGTTGCAAGGGTGGAGGGTGGGTAAAAGGGGAGGGGGAGATGAGTGGGGTTGGGGTGCATGATGTAAAATACACAAAGAACCAATAAAAAGTTACCAAAAGAAGAGGTCTGGAGAGATGGTTCAGTAAAGTACTGCTCAAGCTTGAGGTCCAGAGTTCAGGTCCCCAGAACATCTGTGACCCTGCTGTGTCTGTGTTGAGGTAGGAGATGGAGAAGGATAACCCTGGCAAGCTCACAGACCAGCTAGCCTGAACACAGTGGTCAAGAAGAAGCTCTGTATCACAGTGGAAGGAGGGGACCCACAGCCAAGAGTGTCCTCAGACCTCCACACGACTACAGTGGCACACGTGTACCTGCACTTCACGCATGAATGTGTGCACACACACTGGGCACTGTAGAAAACAAGGAGTTGGAAGATAGTCCAGCTGCTCTAACATGCAAACCAGAGATTCAGAGACAGACAGACAGACACACACACACACACACACACACACACACACAGAGAGAGAGAGAGAGAGAGAGACAGAGACAGAGACAGAGACAGAGGGAGAGAGACACAGAGACACAGAGACAGAGAGACAGAGAGACAGAGAGACAGACAGAGACAGAAACAGACAGAAAGGGTGCGAGCCAGTGCAGTGACCCCAGGGGCCAGAAGCTCACTGATGGAAGTCTTGAGAAAACATTTGAATCTGAAAGAAATGAGTTGCCTGATTAAAACTCACTTTCGCTTGACCTCAGTCGATGAAAACTGCCCTGCTTCAGTGCACAGCATAGAGGATTCCAGCGTACTGGGGATGAAGGGAAATTTACTGATACCTTAGAGATGCAGCATGCTCTGGCCAATGAATGAGACTTAGAACAGCAGATCTGGAGAGACAGCCCAGCAGTCAAGAACACCAGCTGCTCTTCCAGAGGACCTGGGTTCAATTCCCAGTACCTACATGGTGGCTCACAACCATCTGTAACTCCAGTTCCAGGGACCAGTGCTTTCTTCTGACCCCACAGACATACATACACATAAAATAAAAATAAACCTTAAAAAAAAAAGATCAGAATGGCTACAGCTTATCATTCACTGGAAACAGGAAGACAGTGGATGATGGCCTTCAAGAGTTAGTGGCCAACCAATTGCCATGCTCTTGTGGAGACCCGAGATTGGATCCACAGAACGCACATAAACCATGCATGGTAGTGACCTCTATCATCCCTGTGCTCCAGGGTAGAGATGGGAGGAGAATCCCCAGAATCTCACAAGCCAGCTGTACATGGCTGTGAACAAAAGACCCCTCCTCAAACAAAGTGGAAAGGTGAGAACCAATGCCCTAGATTGCCCTCTGACTTACACACACACACACACACAGGGGGGGGGGGGGGGGAGACATAAAGAGAGACAAAGAGACATTTTTTAAAGTCCACAGGGAAAGATTTTCTGCCTAAAATTCTTTACACAGTCACTAAGCCTGAAGGTAGAATAGAGCACTTTCAGACATGAATATTCCAGTGTTTTGCCTCTTGGGCCACCCTGCCGTGGGCCTGCTGGTGATTGCACTATCCCCAAATGACAGCAAAACAAGAGAGAAGGGGACACCAACGACGCTGGAGAACAGAGAGCCAGCCTAGGAGGTGAAGGATGTGGCAGATGACAGCTGTGATCCAGCACAAAGCACATGAACACACGGGTTCAGTGCTGCAGCGAGATCTTCGTCACCCTCATGCCCACTAGCATGGCACCACCCTCCTAGCCCCAGGACAGAGTGGCTGGATTAGCCTGACCCAGATTCTCCCATGAGCACTGTTGGGTTTGAGCATGCGCTCGTGCTTTCCTGTCATCCCTGTGGCCTCAGCAGCTGAGAATACTCCTGGCATCCAAAAACAAGTTTTGTGATGGGAACTTTCCCCTGAGAACTGGAGATGGGCCTTGAAGAGCTTAGAAGCAAAAAATAGAGAGTGGCCACCTGCCCTGGCCATTTTTTTATGAGTTCTAGTTTAGTTCAGAAGAGACATGAATATGTAGTGAAATCTACCAACAAAGCAAAGTCCCCCCCAGTGCTGAGTGGCAGGCGTCAGCCTCCCTGCTGTGCGCCTGGCCGAGTAAATCTTTAAAGTAGCAAGTTCAGAGTGAATCGCAGATACCTGAGGGCTGGATTTCACCAATTTGTACCACATATCCAAAAATAAATCCAAGTACGTATTCCAAGAGGGAAAAAAAAAAAGATTCTGTGTCCAAAAAAGTTTGGGAAACACTTGGATGAGATGCTTGAGGGCCGGGGATGTGACTCAGTGGGTACAGTGCTTGGCTAGCACGCACGAAGCCCTGGGTTCCATTTATGTTTGGGTTATGTGGTTGCACCACAAAAACCTAGTGTCATAACACGCCTGTAACTCCAGCACTTGAGAAACAGAGGCAAGAGGATCAGGGGTTCAAAGCCACCCTCTGCTCCTTAGTAAGTTCGAGGCCATACTTGTGTACATGAAACCCAGTTTAAAAAAAACAAACTATAGTTTTCTTATTGTAAATGTGCTAATGGACATAGTTAATCTAACGGGAGGTATAACGTGCGGTGAGCAATCTCGTATGGCCGCAAAGCCCTGTTTTTACAAAACACCTGCTTTAAAATATATATATATATATATTATTTGTGTAGGTGTTTAGCCTACATGTATATATGTGCCTGGTACCCATGGAGGTCAGAAGATGGTGTCAGAGGCCCTGAACCAAAGTCAGTACTGGTTGTGAGCCACCATGTGGGTAACGGAAACCAAACCTAGGTCTCTGCAATGGCAGCAGGCGCTCGTAACCACTGAACCAGCTCTCCTGCCCCAGCATCTGCTGTCTTAAGGCGCACACTCAGGACGGTTTGGGAAAACAGAGTGAAGTAGATCGGGGAAGACATTTGATATGATTTCTGCCTGAAAGAAAATTAAGTTGTTCTCAAGCCTTTAACTTTTATGAAACAGTCCGTGAGTGGTTTTCCATGCTGCTCACAGATCCTGGGTGAGGAGAGTGGTGACAGTGAGCTACCGCGCTCTGGGCCGGAGCTGAGGCGGACTTAGTCTTTATTGTATCTGATCACAGAGAGGAAAAGATTCATTAAACTCACTGGAGTCGCTGGAGCTTATTTTGTTATAATATCTGTACGGAGAAAAAGATGAAAGACCCCCATCAGGGCTTTCTCAGCCTTTCTGCTTCAGATGCCTACAGAAAACACTGGCAGGCGGTGGGGAAGATATAACACCTTCCTCTCTCGGACAAGGTCTACAGCAGTGTAAAAATATGCTGGGCAGGGTTTGAAGTCAAGATGAATATTGATCATTCTATTTTAGGTTCATTTCTGTGGCATTATTGGCATATAAGACATCTCTAAATTTGTCTTGGTTTCCTGCTTTGGGTTTTCAGGCTTATGAATTTTTAACTCTTAAAGTTCAAACTGGGTTGAGACCTTCCAGACAGGTGTTTACACAGCACAACTGTCGTAGCTACTACTCTTGTGCGTATGTTATATGCATCTCCCTCTCTATTCTATTTTAGTCTCCACCGCCTCAGAGGTCGCGTCTTCCTTTTCTACGCTGTCTATAGCGTCTCCTGACCCGGCCCATCCAGAGAAGTCAGCCAGTCACTTTACCCCGGTTTTGACCAACTCTTCCTTCTGGACTCTGCCCCAGCCACAGTCACCTTCTGACCCCTTCACATACAAAAATGAGGCAGTCAGTGTTCGTCGCCCCTTTGCTCCCACGGGGACAGGATCTTCAGATGATGAGGAATACACCAGTCTTCCAGACAGCTCTGATTCAGCCAGGAAGAAGCCAAGTTACAGCCCCAGCAGCTGCCGGGGAGCATTTTCCACCCTAACTAGAGCGCACTTCCCCGTGGCGTCCCATGCTAGCTTTCAGGCCAACTCAGGCTCGCCCAGGGACTCTGAATCCCACTCCATCCACACTCTGCTAGCTGAGGTGAAGACTGCCGTGGTTCGGCTCCACGAGGACCTGAGCCTGGTGATCCAGGAACTCGGTGTCATCAACAGCCACCTAGGCAATCTGTGTGGCAGCAGCCCAACAGCCAGTGAGACCCTGCAGGACCCCCAGTCTCACAGGGGGAGACCAGACTCCCTCTAGTCACCTAGCCATTCTGTTGGAACCCAGTGGTTCCGCGGCCCACAGACCTAGGAAGTTCCTGTTGCTGTGGAGACAAGAAGCAATGACTTAATTTTTCATTGTCAAGTTTATTAGCACCGCCTTTCAAACTGACAAAGCCATGTGGGGTTAGATATTTTTTAAGAGAAAGAAGTCACTTTTGATCATTTTATGTTTAGATATTGGTTCCTTAGAAACCGAAGGGTATTTCTGTCATTCTTCACATTTCTGAATTTTATCCATAGTGAGGTAAGCCTTAGTGGAAGTTTTGGGGAGACTTTAAAGTGCAAATAGCAGTTGGAGGGCTTTGGGGTGAGCAAGTGAGCTAGGAGAAACCCTGGTTCATCACCCCCGCCCCCAGTGCTGATGCTGAGCTGCTAACAGCCTGATCTCTCACCCTTTCAGCCCTTTCAAGCTGAAGCCAGCATAAATCAAGGGCCTGAAGTCTCCTCAGGGGCCACAGGGTCAGAAGTAAGGCTGAGGCAGGTAGGATGAGGAGCACGTGGTTTTTATTTTGATTTCCAGAAAGTTCGGACACATTTCTTTTTTCTTGTATTTCATAAATAAATTTGATGTTTTCAACTTACTATATATTTTTAAAATTCATTAAAACAACTTTTCAAAGAAAAATGTCATGTTTGCTTTGTAGACAAGAACGACCTAGTTTGAGTATTACAGACCAGCGCTTCCCACCAGGTACGTGCTGGATCCAGTCAGAAGTGTTTGTTTGTTTGTTTGTTTGTTTGTTGTGGTACTGGGATGGAACAAAGAGTCTCACACAGCCCAGGCCAGTGCTCCAGGCCAGTGCTCCAGGCCAGTACTCCACCATACTGCTTAAGGCAAGGTCAGCTGTCCCAGGTTAGCTGCCCTGAGAGATTCTGCTGATCTCTCCCTTCCCACCTCCTCTCACCAGAGCAGTGCTGGGCTCCAGCAAGACACCTCTAACAAGGTGGAGAGAGAAGCAACTCCTGGAGACTGCTCTGTGACCTCTGCACACTCCTGGTGGTCTATATGTGTTCTCACTCACAGACACAAGTAACAAGTGACAGGACACATGTAAAATCTGCTTCATAGGTTTTTTTTTTTCACATGAAGATCATGTCGTTTTAGATTCTCTTTTTTTTTCACATTTTTACTTATTTGCACATGTGTGTGAGTGTGGGTGTGAGTGTGCACAGCGCTTGTGAGAGTCAGAGGACGGCTTATAAAATGACAACTAATAAGACAGTCAACTCTCTCCTTCCACCACATGGGTCCCAGGGATTGAACTTAAATTAACAGGCTTGATGGCAAGCCTCTTTACCCACTGAGCCATCTCACTGGCCCTCTTAGAGGTATTTTCAAGCGTATCTTCACTAAGAACAGTAAGCAGATGTTTTTACTGACAAGTGTAGAGTTCTTGTGGTCACAGTAAGAATAACAAGTTAACTAGGACATATGCTAATAAGCTAGTAAGTCTGCATCCCATGAAGTTTTTAAAAATCAAGATATAATTCATGTACCACAAAGTTTATCCTTTAGGGACCATAACTTAACAAGACTAAACAGCTATCACCTACTTCTAGAACATTTTTCTCACAACAAAACCCTACCCAGTACCTGAGGCTCCACCTCAGCCTCTGCCCTTCACTTTCCACATTGTTGCTACAAGAATCAGTTTAAGGAAAGGAGGGCTTCCTCTGGCTTATAGTTCAAGGGGATACAGTGCATCATAGGAGGAACAGGGGTTGCGGGAGGCAGAACCACTGTTCACATTGTATCAGTAGTCAGAAAGAAGAATGCAAACAGAAAATGGGGCCAGCTATAAAGCCTCAAGGCCAGCTCCCACCCCACCCAGTGACCCATTTCTCTCAGCAAGGCTCCACTTCGTAATGGTTCCACAGCCTTTGGAAACAGGGCTACTCTCTGGGGACCAAGTATTCAAACACATACAGCTATGGGAAATATTTCATATTAAAACCCCAAACCTTTCAATTGTATAGCAGTTTCCTCCTACATAAATCTTCATCTTGTAGGTGTTGTTATCAGGCCCGAACTCAGTGACATCACATCTAGGCGACTCTATATCATTGCCAAGATAACCACCATACACTCCCAGAATCCACCTGGCTACCTCACCTTTACCTGGGAAAAGGTTACGTCACCGCCCATATAAATAGGCAGAACTCTCTCACCTTGCTCTCTTTTCTCCGCCATCTTCCTCTATCTCTCTTCCCCCACCTTTGCCCTTTGCCCTGAATAACCCCACCCCCTTGGAACCGTTTGGTCTGGTGTTGTCTGTTCTAAGCTGCGCACCAAAGTCTAACAGTAGGGAAGCTCCTTAACACTCAAGATGTTCTAAGGAGAGGTGAAACATTCCATCCTGGGGGAAGTTCACTAAGCTCAGGAAGTACCTGAAACTGACCAGATTCATCAGGCATATATAAGCAGTAAAGACTGCTAAGAAGTACTCTCAGACAAGCTAAGACCAGCAGAAATGTCCGGAAGGGACACTCTTTTAACTATCTGCAGGCTGTGCAGTGAGCTCCAGGTTTCTAGCTTTCTGCTGGGGTGAGTCTTCACTGAGTTATTTCTGCCCATGTAAATAATCCCTTGCCCATCCATATTCCTATAAGTAAGCCAATAAAACTCATTGGTTCACCAGTTAGACTTTAATGGCATCCTCATTTTGGTCTAGTTACTCATTTGTCGCTAGTTACTTGTCTGAGGTGAGTAGATATTCAAGTCTCCCCAGGAATATCACACAACACCCTCTCTTCCAAATTCTTGGCAACCAAAATGTATTGTCCACCTCCACAATATTTTCTATCAATGGAATCATGTAGGCATCCATTCAGCCAACTGCATACATCCTCAGCTCAGGGAGGAATCATAAACATGAGGGTCCGTGTCTTATTTCTGTCATAAAGCATCCTATTTCAGCATTCATCGATGCTGTGGCCCAGGCCAGCACTTCATTTATTTACATGGTAAAGTAACATACATCATTTGTAGATCCCACGTGTGGCTTGCCCATTAGTCATCTGGTTTGCAGTGTTTACACTTTCTTGCTGTTAAGAATCATGCCACGGTGAACACTTTGAGATCATGTGATTCAGGTCCTGTCCTGGTTTCTGCTCTGCTGCTGTGATAAAATGCTTTAACTTGAAGAGATAAAAGGCTCACATAAGTCTGTCCACACAGGGAAATCAAGGAAGGAATTTGAAGCAGCTAGTCACATCACAGACAAGAGCGGAGAGAGAACACGGGCATGCCTGGCTGCTGGTGCTCAGGCCTCTCTCTACACGTAAACACCCAGGATCCCAACACAGGACATTTTTAGAATGGGTCTTTCCATATTAATTAAAATGTTAAAGACAGTTCCTCCAAAGACATGCCTTCAAGCCCTGCTGATCTAGGCAGTTCCTCATTGAGAATCTAGATTGGGTCAAGTTGACAAAACCAGTCATGACAGATTCTTTTGTGTGTATACCAAGGAGTATAATTTCCTGTTCAGAAAACACCATCATACCGGCTAGGTAAATCAAGGTCACAACTGAAGTCTCCAGAAAAATCCAGGTTAATCCCAGACTTAACTTCCTCATTAGGGATGGTCATATTTTCCACACTAACTAGGTACCTACTGGGTGTCACTTTATTGAAAGGAATAGCCATGCTAGACTACCTACTCTGATAGCCATTCAATAGAACTAGGAAGATTCTAGACCTTCTGTCAGGGAGAAGTGAAGTGGAAACTTAAGGGTTCATTGTAAAGTCAGTTGGATGCTGTTTTCCTGGGGCAAACACGTGAAGGAACATTTAGCTGAAGTGGACACAGGTGAAAGGCTAAGGCTGCCTTGTGAAGGAATGTTTAGCTGAAGTAGACACAGGTGAAAGGATGTTCTGATAAAGCAAGCATGTGAGAGGACACGTGATGAAGGATTCTTCGCTAACAACGCATGTATTGGTTCACCTTACGTTGTGTGGTTGAGCTGCATTTGTCGTGACTCCATAGAGAGAAACGCACCAAAAAACTTCTGGTGGTGTGCCACAGTTTCTTGCTGCTTCTGAGGACTCTGGCAGATTGGCAGAGTGATGTCAACTGAGACAAATGCAAGTGCTGTGGCAAGACAGGTGGTGAGGTAAGACCCATGGGAGACGTGATGTTTGGAGGGAGGATAAAAAGAACTCAACAGAGTGACAGAGGCTGAACTCGGCTTGCTTGTAGAACTAGCTGTGCAATGCTTAGGCTGTCTCTGCTAGGTAATGCCACGGCTGCTGGTTTGTGTTTGCAATCCCGACTCTACAGAACTGGACTGCAGGTGTATCCGTGAACTATTTGCAAGTGGATCGAGCTGCCACTGCTGACCTGTGAACTGAATTTCTGGTTTCCTGACAATGCAGATAGGATTTGCTCCAAAGAACTATTTCTAAACAGGTCCACTTCCCCCATATCCTTTCTTTTCCACTACCCCTGGTGGATGGTGGGCCAGAAGGGAGGTTAAAGCATATAAAGAACCATCATTAAAAATAAGGTTTGAAAAAATTAAAGTTACAGAGAAGTGGCTTCCGAATAGGTGTGATAACACAGTAGTCCAGCACTGAGAAGACAGAGGTAGGAGGATCTCAAGTTATAGAGGCCAACCTGATCTATATAAGTTGAGTTCCAGGCTAGCCTATGCTCTCAATCTCAAACATGTAGACAAGATTTTTTTTTTTGGGTGGAGGGGGCTTACCTGGCAATTAGCTGTGTTTGAGAACCTGTTCTCATATCTCTGCACCAGACCCTGAACATATGCAGAACCTAAACCAGATACAACATTCGCCCTCAGTTTGAGTTCTAAAGTTTGGAAGTAGTTGGTCAAATTAGTCAAATCCTCTTCTCAAATGTAAAAGGACATTGCAGATACAGAGGAACTGGGGAAATTTTGTTGATGAAAGTTAACCATGGAGCTGAAATATGAAATTCCAGGACAAACGCTCTAAAAACATGTTGGGCATGGAGCGTTGTTTGTACATTAAAGTCTAATGCTAAGAAGACATCAGAAGGTCTGGCTGTCTTTGTCTGGGAGCTCTATCCACAGAGTTCTGGGCTACAGTAAGGATATTACTCCCCTTTTGTGGTGGCTCAGACACTTCTCAGTTATACTTTATTAAGAAAGAATAGTGCTAGAGAGATGGTTCCGTGGACAAAAGTACCTGCTGCTCTTACAGAAAACCCGGATTTAGTTCCCACCACCCACTGGGTGCCTTACAACCACCGGTACCTCCACTGTCAGAGGATAGGCACCTCCTTCTGGACTCTGCAAGTGATGCGTACACATAGTCCACACACATACATACAGGCAATCACTCATAAAATAAAAAGGAAATAAATCTTTAAAAAAAAAGTATAAAATCAAAACCCTCCAAGACACATCCCTCCTTCCCCATTCACATCTCCCAAAGCTGCTGCGTCAGGATGTTGAACAGGGAACCCCACAAGTAATGCAGGTTACTACAACACAGATCACCTCTTTGCAAAACTCTCATTTATCATGTGCTTACTAGATGCACTTACTGTATTGTCACTTCTGATTATAACTAGGGTCTACATAGCTCATATATTTTAATACAACCATTTGCTAATTAGTACAATTAATAAG